TGTTCTCTTCTACCCTCCTCTTCTCCTCTCCTGTTTCTCCTAACTCCTTCTCCCCAACTCCCCCACTGCAATTTTGCTCATGACATCTTGTCTCTTTCCCCTTCTGTGAGGGACCATGTGTGATGACTCTCTTAGGATCCTCCTTTTATCGTAGCTTCTCTGGCTAGTGTGAATTTTAGGCTGGTAATTCTTTGCTCTAAGTCTAAAATCCATTTATGAGTGAGTACATATTATGTTCAACTTTTGTGACTTGGATTCCTCACTCAGGAAGCTTTCTTCAAGTTCCATCCCCTTGCCTGCGAATTTCAAGATTCCATTGTTTTTTCCTTCCTAGTCATACTCCATTGTGTAAATGGACCACATTTTCTTTACCCATTCTTCACCTAACTTGCTTCCAGGTTGTGGCTATTACAAATAAGTCTGCTATGAACATAGTTGAGCACATGCCTTTGTTGCATGAATGTGGATCTTTTGGGTATGTGCCTAAGAGTGGAATTGCTAGATCTTGTGGTAGACTGATTCCAGTTTTCCTAAGGAACTGTCATGCTGATATCCGAAGTGGCTGTGCAAGTTTGCACTCCCACCAGCAATGGAGGAGTGTTCCCCTTTCTCCACATCCTCTCCAGCATCGATTGTCATTGTTTTTCTTTTTTCTTTTTTCTTTTTTTTCTTTTATTTAAGCCATTCTGACAGTTGTAAGATGGTATCTCACAGTTGTTTTGAGTTGCATTTCCCTGATGGCTAAGGATGTTGAGCATTTTCTTAAGTGTCTTTCAGCCATTTTAGACTCTTCTATGGAGAATTCTCTATTTGGTGTTTTGATGACTAGCTCCTTGACTTCTTTGTATATTTGGAGTTCAATCCTCTATAAATGTGGGCCGCTGTTTGGTCTTGTTGACTGTGTCCTTTGCTTTACAGAAGCTTCTCAGTTCCAGGAGATCCCATTTTATAATTGCATTCTGGTGGTTATGCTTCTATGCGTAGTTCCCGATTGTTTACCCAGCTTTTTTTATTTTCAGCATTTCCTCAGTTTGTGTCTTCTTTATTGTCTCTATATCAGTTTTCAGGTCTTGAACTGTTTGAATTGTTTCATCTGCTTGATTGTTTTTTCTTGGCTTTCCTTCCTTTCTTTAAGAGGTGTGTTCATTTCTTGCATTTTTTTGGGGGGCGGGTTGGTCTGTTCTTCTATTTTTTCCAAATTTTTGTTTGTTTTTTTCTTCCATTTCTTTAAGGTATTTTTCTCATATCCTCTTTGAGGGCTTCTATCATGTTCATGAAGTTATTTTTAAGGTCATTCACTTCAGCTTCATCTGCTTTGGAGTGTTCAGTTCTTGTTGGTGTGTGGAGTCCCTAGATTCTGGTGGTGTTGTATTGGTCTTTCTGTTGTTGAATATGTTCTTGTACTGCCTTCTTCCCATCCCTTCTTCCAGTGGGTGCAGGTAGGGTCTCTCTCCTCTTCTCTCCTCTCCTCTCCTCTCCTCTCCTCTCCTCTCCTCTCCTCTCCTCTCCTCTCCTCTCCTCTCCTCTCCTCTCCTCTCCTCTCCTCTCCTCTCCTCTCCTCTCCTCTCCTCTCCTCTCCCGGTGGGTGTAGTTGGGTTAGGACTTCGATGTCAGTAAATCTGGATGATCCAAGCTCTCTTGGAGGTCTCAAGCAGAGGGTGTAGGTGTCCAAGATTGAGTTGAGAGCATGCTCCGGATGGTCTGGCGTGTCAGCATGGGACCACTCCAGCAGAGGTTGTAGGGTATCACGATGCACAGCTGACCCAGGGAGTTCCAAGGAAAGGATTGGGGGGAGGTAATGGAAGTGAGCTGGCCCAAGACTCAGCTCAAGCAGAGGGCACAGGGGGCCGAAGAGTCAGGTGAGGGCAGGCTCTGGATGGTTCCCCATGGCGGGGCGTGTCCATACGCACAGAGCCAACACAAGAAGTTATAAGGAGAGAGTGGGGGTTCTGGACCCAGGTGGCAAACACTCACTTCTCGCAGAGGGCCTACGAGGGCCAAGATTAAGAGGAGGCAGGCTGCAGATGATCCTGAGTGGTGGGTCAGGCCCACTATTTGCAGAGCAGACCCAGGAAGTTCCTTTCAGCTCCATTTTTAACTTCCACCTTAAAGCTAACGATCTGACTCCTGGCTCTGGGTTACCCAGCAGGCAGATGCCAGTGTGGCCACAGAGTCATGTCTTTTCCCCCTTTCTGGCTTGTTTCAAAGCCTTGTCACATGTGAGAGGCCATGTGGCTGGGACGTTCTTGTCCCTGCCAGGCTTTGTGTGTTAAAGGTTGTGGGAGCCACTTGAAAGGCTGTTGGTGTGAGAGAGGTCAGGCTTAGCTTGCTAGGGGCCTGGTAAAGCCTGTGGCTGAGGATGCTTCCTCATTTGTCTGAGGTCTAAACCCATTCTGAGGGCAGAAAAGACCTTTCATCCACTCTGCCACTCCCGTTTCCTTGTTAGCAGCTGCCCGGCTCCTTGGCAGCAGAGAACACACAGGACTGGGTGCCCATGTGGCATGCACAAGGCCAAGCAACTTCTTATGGGAAGGTTGGTGCTCTTCTTGAGATTCAAGAAACTGATGCATTTGGGTCAATATACTCAGAAGTCATTAAAGCTCTCCCATTCAGTCACAGAGTATGCTGTTACTCTCCTGTTCTCCCCCCAGGCAAAAGCCTGAGGCAAACGGATTATGGTCCTGAGTATGTAGTAAGGCATTATCTCAAGAAAATAAATAAAGTAAATAGATTGATCTGGAGTATGTAGCAAGGGAGGACTTTCTCAAAAATAAAACCAAAATACAAAAACAGGGGTTGGAGAAAAGACTCACAGGTCGAGAGGCCTGGCCGCCCTTTTCAAGGACCCAGGTTTCAATCCCAGCACCCACATGGTATCTCACACATGTCTGTAACTGCAGTTCCATGGGACCACTGGCCTGCAAGGGCACTGAACACATGTGGTACACAGACATCCATGCAACAGAACACCTGGAAACACCTTGTTTAAGGTACACACTTGAGCAAACACTAAACCACTGTTATGCGCTGATTCCCCACCAGCCTGGTTCCACAGCCGCATCAATCCCAAATAACACACTGAGACACTGTATTAGATATCAGGCTGTTGGCCTGTTACTAGCATTTCTTATTGGTTACTTCCGTCTTAAATATTAACCCATTTCTATTTTTTTTAATATTTTTTATTTAATTTTATATAACAAAGTCCAATTAAATGAAAACAAACATTTATACACAATATTTGGGAATTTGGGCGTCGTTCTTTCCAAACTACTTCCTGCTGGTAAGGGGCGCTGTCTTGGGGGATTCGAAGAAGATTCAGATATCCTAGCTGTAGTCTGTAGGGCTGTTTTGTCCAGCTGTTTGGAATGTAGGATCAGCTTGTACTCTGTTTCAGGCGGTCTGGTGTGATCAAACCACATTAGTCTGGAAGGAATCCACATCTTTTCATTTTCTGTGGAAACAAAAATAGAAATCCTTTTCCCCAGTAACTTGTTCTTCAACTTAAATTTTGGAGCCAAAGCGTTTTTTTTTTTTTTTTTTTTTTTTTTATTTATTATTTTACATGTCTATCCCAGTTCCCTCTCCCTCCCCCCCTCCCTCCCATCCATCCCTCTCTCCCCCCTTCCCTCCCTTTTACCCTCTCTGCCCTCTCACATTCATTCTAAACACCCTCCCCTCCCAACCCCCCACCACAATACCATATGTAGGGGAATGCCATCCAGTTGGGGTCATGTAGATCTGACAGGTCCTGTGAAGTAGGGACTAGGGCTTCTCTCCTATCTCTAGAATAAGGCAGTTATCCCTCCTTGGGGGATATGTTTGCAAAGTCCTTTTATGCACCAGGGATACATCCTGGCTCCACTGTCTGAGGTCTCTTAGACTGCTCAGACCTTCTGGCTGAGACCCATATTCAGGGGGGCCTGAGTCAGTCCCCTGTTGGCTTCCCAGCTATCAGTCTAGTGGCCCTTAGCTCTTCCTTGTTCAGGTAAGCTGTCTCTATGTACTTCTACCGCATGGTCTTGTCCTCTCCATCTGCTTCTGGGTTCTAGTTCGGCTCACTGTTTATGTATGGGTGTTTGCTCCTATTTTCAACAGGCATTAGTTGAGGACTCCATGGAGAAGTTAGTTGTTGATCTCACTCTCCGGGAAGGGCATTTATGATAGCCTTTCCACGGGAGCTGAGATTGTTAGTTGGGAGCAGTCTTGTAGTTCCCTCGACCTTTCTTTGTGTTCAACTTTATCTTCAAACCAATATTGGCTCCCTCTTTTATGTTCTCTCTCTCTCTCTCTCTCTCTCTCTCTCTCTCTCTCTCTCTCTCCTATTTTCCATTCCTAACCAGGCTCAATCCTCCTGGTCGCACATGCCTTCCTCTCCTCCCCCTCATTTTCTCCTACTTCTCTCTTCATTAGCTGTCCTCCCCCCACTTTACCTGAGCTCTGGGGGACTTGTCCCTTCCCAGTTCTGCGAGGGACTTTATATGAATCTCTTAGAATACACCTTGCATCCTAGTTCCTCTGGTGATGTGAATTATAGGCTGGTGATCATTTGATCTAGTTCTAAAATCCATATATGAGTGAGTACATACTGTGTTTCTCTTTTTGTGACTGGGTTACCTCATTCAGGATGGTTTCTTCAAGTGCCATCCACTTGCCTGCGAATTTCAAGATACCATTATTTTTTTCTGCAGAGTAGTATTCCATTGTGTAGATGTGCCACATCTTCATTAACCATTCTTCAATTGAGTTAACCCATTTATATTAATCTAAGTGTTTCCAAATAGTCTTGGCTTATAGGAGAGAGGGTACAGACCTTTTCTCTCAAGTTCCTACATCTTGACTCCTCTCCTCCATCTCCCACAATCCTCCTTGTCTTCCAGTACCACTTATCTTGCCTTCCTATTTGCCAAGAGTGCTTTATTCATTAACCACTAAGAGAAACATATTTACAGAATGACATCTCCCATCAACCCACCCATCTCTTTGAATCATCCTTTAAGGTCTGCCAAGATGCCCAACGTGGTGAATGAAATCATGAAGCTCCTGTGTTACATTTCTGAGAAGAAAAAAATGAAGGCGGCCATCAAGCACTCTATGAGGGGTGCCATGGTTACAGGGATCATGGCCTTTGTCGGAGGTTTGGTTGGTGGCCCACCAGGAATTGCTGTTGGTGAGTGTGTCTTCACAGCTAGTTCAGATGTGTTATCCCTTGCCCCTGGGGAGGCAGGGTAGCCTGGGCTATATAGTACATTCCAGGCTTCTGGTATGTATGCTTGAGGTTATTTTGGAACCTCATGGGAGAATGACTTGGTAAGTAAGAATGGTACCTACCTCATACCCTGAGCTGGGAGTTTATAAGGCCGGTGGCTTCTGTATGTATGTAGTATGTATATGTATGTAGTATGTCCTCACAGCTTCCGTGGGATACAGGATTCTCTTAGCTTCGTGTTTGCATCTGTCAGACCTGGGAGGCACCTTCCCTCTAGGAACCCATGGCTCTGCCCTTTCCCTAGAAATGTGTCCTTGAGTCTCAAGGTACTGGGGTGCCTGGGCCCTCGCGATGTCCCCCCTCCGTACATCATTGTTACCGTGTTAGCTGAGAAGGGAGCTACGTTTGCCAAGTTCTTTCCATGATCAGTTACTCACAGCCTGGCTGTGTCTTAGTTTGTTCTCTGTTGCTGTGAAAAAACATCAGGACATAAAGCACCTTGGAGCAGCTTAGAGTTCATTATGAAGAAAAGTCAGGGCAGGAACTCAAGGCAGGAACCGAAGCAAAAGCCATAGATCGCTGCTCACTCACTCTGCTTGCCTTCTCCTGAGATGGCCACTGTGGACCGTTCAGTACAGTTTGGCTGGCATCCCCATGACAGGCTGGGCACCTGCCATGTGCAGCTGGGTGGCTTTTTACTGACTACTGTTGAGAGCCAACAACCTAGTGGTACAGCCGTTCTTTGACCCCAGTCTTCTAGAAGCTATTGCTAGGTGGTTTCAGTCCCCAGGTTGGGACAGGCTGGACAGAGAGAAGCTCTTTAGTACTGAGGCTGACTTCTGTTCTGTTTTCTGACAAGTGTATCCCTGTATCCCCTCAATACATGATAGCCCCAGACTTTCACCTTTTGTGTTCCCCAAATCTGTGACTTCCGTAGTCCCGACGTCAGCTTCTTCCCACAAAAGCAGAAGCCAAGCCCATTTCTTGTTCCCCAGTGACTGCCTCGACTCACCACTCCTATCTAAGTGCTCAGGGGAAGCCGGGTTGGGGCTGTTTTATCATATACCTGTGTGCTGTCTCTGTCGTGGGAGCCATTATTTTACTCACATTGAGCAACGCTGGTAAGGACTCGCTGCTTCTGGCCCCTGGTCGTGGGTGGGTGCTTGGTTTTCCACAAAAGACATAGGTATTCTCCTGTCTTCTAAGACCTAGTAGTAATTTGTTCATCTGTGTCTCGATAACCCTTCGAATGAAGTGCTGTTGTAAGTCAAATATTGATGATTGTGAGGAGTTCATACAAACGTGTGTAGCACAGTCAGCTCAAGAGGAAAAAGAGTCAGTCAAACGTGTGAATGAACTGGTTTTCTTCCCCTGCAATCATCCTTTCCTTAGAGACTGGCTGCCCCTGTACTGGGAGCCAGGGGGAGTGTCTGCTCCCAGGGGCTACCCTGTTTAGATTCAGAAAACTTGTGTGTCGCCCTCTGTCTTCTGAGCCCAGCCTACCAGTGGGTTCTCACTGAGCTGTGTTGTCTGTTTACCTAATTGCATATTTCTAAAGTGATTTGTTTGTTTTTATTTTATGTGTATGATGTTTTCCTGTATAGTATGTCCATGTTCTGTATGCTGCAATACCCACAGAGACCAGAAGAGGGCATCAGGCTCTGTGAAGCTGGAGTTAAGGATTTCTTGGAGCTGCCATGTGGGTGTACATCAGCTCACAGCAAGAGCATCCAGTGCCCTGCTCTGAACCACTGAACCAACTGGTCAGTCCCACCCACACCTTTTAAGCTGTGGTCTCTCTGTGTACGTCAAGCTGGTCTGAAACTATATATTACAGATTGGACCTCACACCCGAGATCCTCATTGTACGTGTAGAAGTTGCAAAGATTGTTCAGAAAGTCCTGGTTTGTCCCTCTCTCAGATTTAGTTCTGGTGGGAATGTGTTTCGCATCCTCGGTGGGGCCCGAGCAGTCAGCACTAATGCAGCCTGTGAAACATTTTCATTTGACCAGACTTTGCACAACAGCCTTGTTTTGCTCTGAAATACCCCATTTTTTTTCCATTTTTTTTTTTTTTTTTTTGAGACAGGGTCTCACTATGTAGCACTAGCTCTCCTAGAACTCACTATGCAGACTGGGCTGGCCTGGAACTCACAGAGATCCCCTTGCCTCTGCCTCCCAAGTACTGGGATCAAGGGTATGTGACAGATGACACTACCCAAGTTGACACTCCTTTGAATGAGTCCATTTCCAGTAGTCTCTTGTGGCCTGTGGCAGTTTCCTAGGCTGTGCTTTTCATAGTTGGGTTTGGGAAGTGGCTGGGCGGTGTTCTGTAAAATTCTCCGCTGTGTGATGTGCTTCTCAGTAGTCTTGGGAGGGAAAGCCTCAGAGGTTATGTGTGTTCTGTGGCAGTCCAGATGTGACATCCTGTGGCACCTCCAGTGAGACTGACCTTGGCAACATGGTCAAGGCCATGTGTGCTGGATATTTCTACTCTCAAGTTTCTGTTTCTCATCCCGTATTCTGTTACTGTTTTTTTTTTTTTTTTTTTTTTTTTTTTTTTTTTTTGTGTGTGGTTTTAGAGGCTGTCATGGAACTAGCTCTTGTAGACCAGGCTGGTCTCAACCTCACAGGGGTCTCTGCCTCCCGAGTGTTGGCATTGAAGGCGTGCACCACCACCGCCCAGCACCTCCTCCCATATTCTGTTCCTTGGGAAAGACTCCCAAGTCCAGCCAGGCTGCGTCTGTGAGCATCTGATTGTTGTTATATGCAGTTCACAGGAGACCTTCGAACTCAGATCTGATGTTCCCAGTGGCAGCCGTTGGCTGCCTACAATATGATAGTAGCTTTTCCTTCAGGCAGGAACCTAGCTTCCCGGGCCACCACAGACCCCTCTGCCCCCTTTAACATTTGCTATTTTGAGAAAGACTCTTGCTATTTAGGCTGGCCTCAAACTCTTCCAAGCTGCACCTGCCTCTTTCTCTCAAGGGCTGGTTTAAAAGAGTCTACCGCCAGACCGGTGCTCTCTTCATCACTTTGGATCACTTCCCTGACCTTGAAGGTGTTGAGTCTGATACCTCTGCCCCTACTGTTCCTTTACCTTGTGTCCTGCAGCACAGGACCTGGTGACATGGCATTTTCCATCCTACAAGATCTTCAGGTTCATTAACAGCATGCCTTAACTGTGACCAGAAAGTTAAATTTAAAAGCAATATACCTAGGGGCTGGAGAGATGGCTCAGTGGTTAAGGGCACTGACTCCCTTCCATAGGTTTTGAGTTCAATTCCCAGCAAACACATAGTGGTTCACAGCCACCTGGGGCCCTCCTGTGCCATGGAGGAAGAACACAGTATATATAATAAATAAATATGTAGATCTTTTTAGAAAACAATATTTCTAAACCAGGCAGTGGCCATCGACACCTTTAATCCCAGAGGCAGAGCAGGCAGATCTGTGTGAGCTCCAGGACAGCCTGGGCTCTTATACAGACAAACCCTGCCTCGAGAAATATAAAATAAAATTAAAACGTAAAACCAGTGTTTTTAGCTGAGGTTATATCTTTGTGTTAGAGTACTTAGCTGCAATTCTCGACCCACCCTCCCACCCCCATCCTACAAGATCTGGAAAAGAAGGAAGCAGAAATCTAAAAACAGTATTTCTAGCTTGCTTGGTGGCTGGCACACACTTGTGATTCTCGGCTGCGATGCTGTGGCAGTAAGAGCAAAAGTTGTAGGCTACCCTGGGCTATGCAACAGGACTTGGTCTCCAAAAAAACAAAAGCAAGAGACAGTAGAAGTGTTCCAGTATTGGAAAGGAAATGGTAAATTATGTTGGTTTTTGTTTTGTTTCTGAGAGATGGAATAAAAGACAGTTTCCCAGGGAAGCACATGAGTTGCATCCAGAGTCATTTCCCATGTGAGTTCTCTGGGGATTTGCTAGCCTCTCGGGCTTGTTTCCTGCCAGCCACTGATTTAGTATCCACTTGACACAAGCTTGAGTTATTTTGGAAGGGAGAATTGCAATGAGGAAATACCCCCACTGGGCTGGCCTGTGGGCAAGCTCACTGTGTTTTTCTTGAGCGACTGCTGATGTGGAAGAGTGTGGCTCATTGTGGAGGGTCATCCCTGGGCTGGTGGTTCTGGATGCTTTAGGGAAGCAGGTCAAGCGAGCCAGGAAGCAGCACTCTCCAAGCCTTTGCATCAGCTCCTGCCTTCTGCCTTGAGTTAGTTCCTGCCCTGACTTCTGTCAGTGAGCAAGTGTGACCTGAGAAGCATAAGATGAAATGAACTCTTTCCACCCATGTTGTTTATTGTCGTGGTGTTTTATCACAGCCATACCATGGAAACTGCTCAGCCTCTCATCCTGTCCAGGCAAGTGGTTTCTCGGAAGACCATTTCCCTGTCAGACCCCTTTGTGGAGACAGATTGTTCAGGAACCTCAGGAGTGAGTGGGAGTGCTCAGATATGAAGGGGATCTTAGTGGACACAGGTCTGATGTGGGGAGGGTGTAAGTGGGGGGCATTGGGAGGGACATGCATGGGTGTCAATCACCTGGACAAATGGACTAGAGAGGACCTAATCCTCTGCTCTGCTGGTAATCAGGCTGAATCTTAGCTGGCCGTGACCTGTTCATGAATGTGCCCATTTGTCATGATAGTGGCCACATTTCTCGAAGGAAACCAAGGCCACTGTTGGAGGTTGAGGCTGACTAATTGATCCTTCCTTGTTTTCCAGGTGGGACTGTTGGGGGTCTATTAGGTGCCTGGATGACAAGTGGACAGTTTAAGCCTGTACCTCAGATCTTGATGGAGCTGCCCCCTGCTGAACAGCAGAAACTGGTTAACGAAGCCAAGGCCATCATCTGGAACTTGGACTGGACAGACGCTATACAGCTCATTTCTCTGGTCATGAGCAATGAGGCCATGCAGCAGAAACTCCTGGCCATGCTAACCACTTATATAACCAAGAAGCTGGGGGCTGAGATCTGCTATGGTGACTAGGCCACTTTACCTGGGGGATGATTCTATGGCTCCCAGAAAGTGACCTGGGAGTGGGGGATACCTGACAGGTACCTCTGAGAAACCTGCATATCTTGAGCATTGACTGTAGTAAGCAGGAGTGTGGGTACATCCTGTTGGACTGTCCTCTGCTGGAGAGGTGTGTGCTCTTGAAACGTACTGGCTGTTGGCATCCACAAACAGCTTGGGAGTACAGTTCCTGTGGCTCTCACTGAAGTTCTTACATTGGCTGTCCAGCTGTGACAGATGCCCCTCTTCCTGTGAAGAGGACCTCTAGGTACCTGTCACAGGATTAGACCCCCATAGGCTATGGGATCTTGGGATTCAGAGCCAGCTCTTGCCAGGATTGTGCTTACCTTCTGAGTGTTCCCCGTCTTCCCCCAGGGATTTCCCCGTGGCCTTATGATAACAGTGGTTCCTATTTAAGTGAAGCCACAGCTGCCAGGCACTTTCTGTACTCTGAGTCTATCTAATTCCCAGGCTGTCCTGAGTAACTCCGATTAAGTTTCTAGAGTTGTTTTGCCTTCGTGTGGGAAATCATGGCACTTATTTATCTCTTCCTTTTATTGTCAGTTCTGGGCCCTTTTGATTCTTTATACTTTTGTAGTGTAAGTTAATTAACTCCAATTTTTTTTCTTCCTGTGTTGCCTAGGCTGGACTTGAACTCTTGGCTCAAGTGATTTTGCTACGTGCCTATGACTGCAGGCTTGTGCCCCCATACCCAGCTTTACCTCAAAGGCTGTTGTCTCTGCCACTTCAGATCAGTTAGTTCTTTCAGGGTCTCTGTCCCAGACCAGTTTCCTCCCTGCACTGGTGCAATCTACACTTCACTCGTGCGAAAAGCCAAAATTAACGATGAATTGAGTTCAGAGGCCATAACTGAGCTAGGGGCTGGGATGCACATCCAGGGTCCCAGATAAGTGAAAGGCCAAAGCGAGAGCATCTTTGAGCCCAGGAGTTCAAGACCAACCAGGACAACATTCAGGAAGCCGGGAGATAGGAGGTGGGGACATAACTGATCACCTTACTTGCCTTTTATTTGCAATCACAGAATCAACATGCAGTGGGTGCTCTGATGAGCTGGATTGAGGAGGATGACAGAGGAGACTAAGGGAAGGGCAGAAATACCAACAGGAAGGTTAACCCACGGGTAGGCACCTTATCACCTGGGGTGAAACTGGCTCTTTTGGGATTTGGTTAGCTTGTCTTTGATTGCCCTAAGTGACAGCAGCTCAGATCTGAAAAACAGCTTGTTTGATGCTTTTCTTTCCTTGTGGTGCAGTGGATGGAACCCAGGGCCCTGCAGGAGCTAGGTAAATTCCACCAGTGAGCCCTACTTCAGCCCACTTTTTGTAGATCCAAAGCAAATGCTGTAATGCTGAGTCTAGTCCCAGCCCTTGAGTGGCTCAGTTTTGCTTTGGCTAGTTGGTCCTAGTGCTGGAGCTCAACCAATGACACCGGGCACAGGATGAAACATTTGTCCCTTCTTTTTTCCCCTATGAGAGATGTGCACTCAGGGAGGGAAGGAGCTGGGTGTCTTCATTACCCCTCCTATCACCATGGCTTCTATGTGGCAGACACTATATATATATATATATTGCTATGTACTGATGACTTTTGTATTTCTGTTGTTTTCCTTTTTTCTTTTTTTCGTGTTTTGTCTGCATTTATGCAAGTACAGTATGTATGTGTGTGAATCCCACAGATGCCAGAAGGGGGCACTGGACATCCTGAAACTGGAGTTACAGTCATGTAGGAAGGAGCTGGGAACTGAACCCAGAACTTCTGCAAAAAGCAATATTGGCTAAACTACCTTCCTAACTCTAAGTATTGGTTTTTCAAAACAGGGGGTCTCTGTGTGGTTTTGGTGAACATCAAATTCATGATCCTCCTGCCTCTATCCCCCTAAGTGTAGGGATTATAGAGATAAACCACTATGCTGGTGCTTCTGTAAAATTTTTGGGGGGGTCATTATTTTGAAATCACTTCCTATGGAACTCCTCTGGGAAGGGAACCTGCGACAAAGGAAATCTAGAGTGAATTTGCAAGCATCTTGAAACCACAGAGCTACTAACCACTGAAGCCAAGTTCATCCTGGAGACTCTAGAACCCAGAGCCCTCACTCAAACACCATGTGGTTTCACTAGGGAATTCTGGGACATGTTTTCCACATGAAATATTTTTAGTAAGTGTATGCTGCTCCTGAAGTGACAGGATGACAAACAGTCTTCCTTTTGGGGTCCTGGCACTGGTGGGTCTTTGAGACAGGGTTTCTCCATGTAGCCCTGGCTGTCCTGGAACTGGCATTGTATCCAGGCTGACCTCAAACTCTCTGATCTGTCTGCTCCTGCCTCCTGAGTGCTGGGATTACAGGTGTGAGTCACTGGCTGTGGGCCACAGACAATGTTCCTATCCCCAAGTCTTTCCTGATGTATCTTCTCTTTGCTTTCAAAACTACAACCCAAATGTCATCAAAGTACCAATAAATTACTTTTCCTTGAAAAAGCCACTTTCTGTGTATTTTGTGTGAATCACTTCTGAGAATTGAAGCCTTAACATAAAAGGGAGGGTGGTTTGATATGTGTCTTTACAGGATGGGAAAAAGCTGCCCAGCTTAGGCTGAGGCTGCTTGTCCTGCTTATCCTGCTCTAGCCCTCTGTGCACAAGTCCCAATGCAGGTAGTTCTGGGACCTAGATTCCATCCATGGCTGCAGCCCAGGATTTTGGCCGCCAGAGGCAGCTGCTGGACTGAGGGCCCCTGAGAGATCTCAGGACCTTGGCAGGGCAGATAGCTCCATCTGTTAAAGAGATCTCCTGTGGACTTCACCCCATGGGGATGGAGGGGCCGGAGCCTTTGTATCAGAATACCTCAGCTAGCTGGCCCTTACCAGATTCCCTGGCCTCGGTGACACCCGGAAAACACCTGGAGAACAGAGACAGGGCGGAGCAGGGAGCTGGTGCTGTCTTTGCAGACTATGGCTCCTCTGGATGAACCGACGACACTCCCTATTCTTCATGCTGAACATGAAGACCCCCAAGTCCCTTGAATTACAAGTCTGAGGTCAGGACCACACCCACTGCTTCAACTTCCCTGGGCTCTCCAGTGACCCTGTGAGTGGAGGTGAAGACACTGCTGGGCAGGTGCACGGCAATGGTGCTCTGTTCAGGCTTTCAGGTTAGGGGAGATTTTCTTTCTTATTTCGTCGTTTGGAGTCAGGGCTTCACTTTATGGATATATAATCCAGGTTGTGGAACTCAGCAACCCTGCCTCAGCCTCCCCAGTGTTGTGAGTAGCGCCTTGGGCCCCATTTTGCACAGTATGTAAATTCTGCCAAGCTTACACCCATACATGTAGAAATGGCAGGGTTGCATTAGAATTCCCTTTGCTAGGCAGTGGAACCCAACCTTCCCCTCTCCTCCTGCATGACGTTCCACTGTGCACCAGGCTTGGAGGGCCAAGCCTGGGGATTCCTGTCTGACTTGTGTGTGATGGAGCAGCCCTCAAGTGAGGGTCCCTTGACCGCCAGTCCCCCTGTGACTCAGTGGCACCAGGACCAGCACCCCAGTTGCTTCTGTCCTTTCTTTGAGGAGATGAAAGCATTTTCCCAGGTTTCCTTTGTGATTGCTTCTCCATTCCCTCTTTAAAGATATCGTAGCCCTGTATTTTTTTTTTTTTTAATTTAAATGCATTTATTTATTTATTTTTGTGAAACTTTGGTTTAAGTAGCTAATAGCTGCCTGGCTCACTTAAAGGGAGCCAAAGGACTAAAACGGTGAAGGACAGTGTTCTGAGCTGACTCACAAGCAGCCGGGTTTGCCTTGAAGTGGTTGGTTTGGTTCAGATTAGTTTGGTGTTATTTTTGAGACAGGGTCTCAGTGTGTAGGTAGATGCTGTCCTCAAACTCATGAGCCTCCTGCCTCAGCCACCTCAATTCAAAGATTACAGGCATGAGCCACCATACCCACCTTTAACTTTTTTTTTTTTTTTACAGTTCTTAGAAACAGTTCATTTGCTTTTATTTGTCCATGATTTTTGCCTAAAACATAGAATAATCTAGAAATGTGTAATTAATTCTTCAGTGATATGCACCACTAAAGTTGTATTCCTTTTTAAAATCATATATATATATATATATATATATATATATATATCGTGATTGGGTGTATATATGGACGACAGGTATGCCTGATATCCACATATGCCAGTAGACGGCATCAGATTTTTAGGAATTAGAGTTAACCATGCATGTGCTGGCAATTGAACTGGAGTGGTCTGCAAGAGCATCCAGTGCTTTCAACCAGGAAGCCATCTGTCTACCCCAACTTGATACTTTTAAGGGTAGTCTCACAGTCCTCAAACACTGGCAATAGTTACACAGTATCCTTTATAACATAGCATGGATCCGGTGTGTTTTAGGCCAGTTCTTATCAAGAAAGCACTGCAACGAATATGCTTATGTTACTGTCTCTGTAGTTTGGATTTTGATAGTCCTTGGATTATGACAGATTCCTCAGAGCAAAATGGCTGGGTTTAAAATTATGTGCTGCTCAGTCGCAATCTTTCATTAACTTACCCTCTAAGATTTGGGGAGATTTGGCGTGCAGGTCTTGTTGCAGTTCTCTCCAGCAAACCAACTATGTGTTTAATCTGGGTCCAGGCCTCCCTGGGGAGAAGGGGCTCCCAGCAGGGCTGTGTAACCATAGGTAGCTGGTGTTAACGGTGACAGGGCACATTCGGGGTTGTGACACGCACCTGCTCCCTCTGGGGAGGAGCCCAAGCGATCCGGTAATTATAAAAAACAACCATGTGCTTGGAGGCTGGTTATTAACCTGTGTCAGGCCCTGAGGAGACAGCGCCAGAGATTCTTTTTCCCACAGGCAGACGGTGTATTTTCAGCAAGACTTGACTTTGATTATGTCAAGTCAGACACAGTCAGAACCGGGAACGAAGTGCACGTGGAAGGATGCAGGGCAGAGATCCTATGGCCAGGGATGCAGGATTAAGACCCCATAGCCGAAAAAGAAGGCAAAGAGGCAAGGATGAGGTACAATTTAGTAGTGAACCACTCACTTTTCCGCAGCTGGGTCGCAGCGCCCTCTCGCGGTTATTAACCTGTGTCGGGTGCTGACTTTGATTCTGTCAAATCAGTGACAGTCAGAGCCTGGAAGGAAGCCCAGGGGAGGAATGCAGGACAGAGGTCCTAGGGTCTGGATCAAGACTCCATAGCCGAAAAACGAGGCAAGGTGGGTGTGATCACTCAGCTGAAGGTTATGAGACACCAACTAGCTGCAAACGCTCACTTTTCCGCCGCTGTGTCTCAGCGCCCTCTCGTGGTGACCGTTGAAAACCCAGGATGCTGCCACAGTGGGGTCTGGTTTATGAGTTGGGATGCAGAGGGCTTGAGGACTTCCTGAGCTTTCAACAATCCTAGTGCAGAATACTGACTGGGTCTCCTGCAGCCTTTTTTTTTTTTTTTTTTTTTTTTTTTTTGTATACAGAATGCCAGGATCCATCTCTTCCTCTTCTGTGTGAAGTCTCCAGTTGGTTGGGAGGAGATTAGTAGCTTCATTAGCCTGAAGGGGCTTCAGAGGCCATTATGATAATGTGGCTCAGAAGATTGGGTTCTGGCTTGGTTAGGTGAATCACAGCCTTGAGGTGAGTTCTGACTACCTCCAGCATCAGCAGAGGAAGTGGGGATGGGGTGGGTTTGTTTGTTTTTGTTTTTTCTGTTCATGGTGTAGCCATTAATTTAATATTTTGGATTTTAATTTTTTTTTTTTTTACTTTTTTAAAGACTTCATTGTATGTGTATGAGGTTTGCTCTCATGTATGTCTGTGTCTTGTGCATTCTGGAACTGAAGTTATGGGTGCTTATGAGTTGCTATGTGGGTCCTGGGAATTGAACTTAGGTTCTCTACATAAACAATGCTTTTAGTTGCTGAGCCATCTTTCCTCACCGTGAGCCCTGCCTCCTCATGCAGCCAATGAGAACAACCCCTGCAGGCTGTGCACAGCCACACCTCTTTGTCCATCTGCCACCAGGATGGACTGTCCCTCTGAAAACAGGAATGAAAGGAAACTCCTCCTTCCCTAACTGGTTGCTCTTGGGCATTTTGTCATAGAGTGGAGGTAAATGGACGCCTCTGACTCAAAACATTTTGCTGAGTTTCTGGCCTTCTGACCTTGCTGGACCTGCCCCAGTCACTAGGAAGTCAGATACCCTGCATATGACAAGGAATCAATCAGAAGTTAGCTAGTGAGCTCTGGATGTGCTCTATGGTAACAGTGGCAGAACTTAGGGGGCAGGCCAGACAGAGCATAGCAAGCCCCCTTGGGAGAGCCTATTGACCAATCAACACAGGCCAGGTCACCCAAGCTTGGAAGTGCTCCAATCCTGACACTGTTGTGGACCCTGGACACTCTACTTTCTCTGCCCAGTAGATTCTCTGCCTTATGAGCTTTCCAGGTCCTTCTCACTCCACCCAACATGTGGGATGGACAGACAAAAGGCCTGAGTTAACTTGTTAATTATTAAAGCCACAGCTGGTCTTTGGTCTTTAATCTCAATACTGGGGAAGCAGAGGCTCACTCTGTGAGTTGGAGGCCAGCCTGTTCTACAGAGCTAGTTCCAGGATAGGCTCCAAATCAATACAGAGAAACCCTGTCTGGAAAAGAACAACAAAAATTATTAAAGACTCTATGTTTTGAATTGGAATGGGTCTCTTGGTGATTTGGGGGTTCAGAATTTGGGCACAAAGGCTTTTCTGGAACTCACAGAGGTCTACCTGCCTCTGCATCCCTAGCACTGAAATTAAAGTCATGTGTCACCTCTCACCTGGCCCCTCAGAAAAGATAAAAAAGAAACAAAAAACATCAGAGTGGATACTGTTGTGCCAACCAAGAGACCCCCATAGCTTCAAGGAGCCACCAACGCCCGAATGCAAGCACATGGAGGTGTTCATTTAGAAAAACCAGCTAGCTGGGGCATCAATCTCTTGGGAGAGTTGAATCCCAGAACTGAAATGCAAGGCATTTTTAAAGAGCAAAGAACAGGAAAGAATAGGCAAAGGCGCCTTAACTGTCCTCTGCCCAGGCAGGGTTGATTAACATTTCCTGGTATCTGCAGTGGTTATCTAGTTCCCTGTTCCTTTAAGGATATCCTGGGGTCTGTGGGATTAATGACTGGCAGGTTGGGGAGGCTCCCTGGTTCCCAGTTTTCTTAAGAATCAATGAGGTGGGGAGTGATGTTTACAGGGTTGGTGATGAGCTTAGGCTCCCCTTTGTGGGATCTGTTCATGACTTCCTGTCCCAAAGAGTAGACTCAGTGGTCACTTACTTAGTTGGGGTCTTTTTAATTTTCTCCTTACAGGTACCTTTTGGGGGGCCTTGCCAAGGTATGCCACTAAGCAAACATGCCACACACAACAGTACTGCAAGAAGTTTATTGGGGGAGGGGGAAGGGAGACAGGGAAAGATGGAAAGGCCTCAGAGTGGGCATATGAGAGG